TTTGTCAAATGAAAGTCCTCTTCCCCCCCCCCCCTCCAGCAGTTTTTGATGTATGGCCTGTTGGCCCCACACCCCCCGCGCCAGAAAACAAACGTCTAAAACAGAACCCCACCCTGACCCCACTAGCTGGCCGGTCGTCCGACCCCAGTCAGCTGTTTGTTCGGGGTCCACATAGTCACGTGACCACCCAGCTGGTCTGGCAGTGATGTATGTCCTGTCTGACCGGACAGTGTTCGAATCACACCTCGTGTGTGGTGTGGGGGGGGGGGGGGGGGGCGGGGGGCTGTTACAACACACCTCGTGTGCTGGCTGTTACCACACTCCTGATGTGGGTGAGCTGTTACTACACACATTGTGTGGGGGCTGCTACCACAAACGGACAGTAGGTCTCACGATTTGTGAGAAGCGTCCTAGCGGTCAGTCAGTTGCAATGCTTATACTACTTACAATTTACAACTCTGTCAGTTCAATGATTGGCCCATGCTCACGTGATCTGCTACGTCACTTCCGTCAAACGGCAGTCACGGTCTATGCTTACAGTAATGGGTATTTCCGTGGAGATTTGACGTGGCACCATGTGCAAGATGGCCGTTCTTCTGCAGTCACGTGAGTTGATGGACATGCGCACTGGGGTGTTAGGTGGTGGCGGGGGAGGGAGGGGGCGTCTTATTGTTGTGTAGCGGGAGGCTGGGACGTGTCAGGGCCCAGGTAACACAAAGACGTCAACACCTGGCTCATTTCAGTAGTCCGGGGAGGGGCGGGGAGTGGGAGGTGGTGAGGAGGGCGGTTTGGGTGGGGGGTAATGAGGGGCGGGGAGTGGGAGGTGGTGAGGGCAGGGAGTGGGAGGTGGTGAGGAGGGCGGTTTGGGTGGGGGGTAATGAGGGGCGGGGTGGTAGGTGGTGAGGGGCGGGGAGTGGTAGGTGGTGATGAGGGGCGGGTAGGAGGTGGTGAGGGGCGGGCAGCTAAGGTTAGAGGTCGTACACGTGAAACACGTCACTGAACCTGAGACTGGCCTGGTAACGTGATGACATGCGTGGTCCTGGGACTTTTGAACGTGATCAATAAACAACGTGACAACCACGTTTGTGATGGCCACAGTTGAGATGGCCACAGTTGAGATGGCCACAGTTGAGATGGCCACGAATATAATGACCACGATTGTGACGGCCACAAATGTGATAGCTACGACAGCAACTACCTGCACAAACCAGACACTGTCGCGTGCCGTAGGTTGATGCCATCGCTTGCCCCTTGTTGGATGTTGGTTAATGTGGGCATGACATAATGGAAGCAAAACTTTACCAACCGACAAGGTAAAAAATAACTCTATTTTAACCCCTGGAAATATTTTTTACCGTGCGTCGTGCTGTTGAAGTAGAGAGTACCCGATAGCGTACCTGTGTTGTTGTTTTTTCAAGCAGTTGGGAGGAGATGATTTCAAGTCAATACAAGCCTAGTACCTGAGGGCCCACACAAAGGCTGTGGGGGCTCATGGTGCTCCCACACAGCAGGTGTGTGGGCTCATTGCTGGCTCCCACACAACGGCTGGATTTGACGAGCTCTGTGTTGTAGGGTAGGAGTAGGTGGAGTAGGGGCAGGCTGATGTCTCTATGAGGTAGGGGAGGGTACCCGTGCCAATAGAACGGCACTGGAAACTCCCCATCCTCACCTGCATGACCGAGTGCTCTAAAAGTTATCGGCCTTGAACCGATACTTCCTTATTGCAGAAAACAAGGTCGGTCTGTTATCGCCCCTTGTTGATAAGCCCAAGCTAGAATAACTCTGTAGCGTCTAGAAGCAGGGGGACAAGCCACGATAGAGACTTGCAGGAAACGTTGGGGGGCAATGAAAGATGGCCCCTGCCCGGGGAGAAAACACGTCTATCAGCGGCTGGGTGAGGGAAAGGTTTTTTGTGCTAAATTTGCCACCCCAGCCATCGTCTGCTCAGATGTGAGTCGGGCGCGAGCCGGGAGCAGACGGGGCATCGCATGCCGGGGCTACTTAGAGGGCTGACGAGTCGTCTGGCATTAGCGGCCTGTTATTGCCTTTGTCTAACAGGACGAGGCTGGCATTAGGAGGACTCTGGCATTAGTTCTCACAGACCACGTGATCAGCCACACAGGCACCGTTAGACTGACCGTCCAAATTCTCCGGACCCGTGTCTGATGACATGGCCGTCCAGCCAGTCACTGGTGGCTGGGGCCGTCTAACATTTTTACAACTGTCCATCATAAGCCCGACCGTCTAGCACAGAAATCCGTCCATCAAATTGTCACGGCTGAAGTTTTTTGTTGTCTGAAAAAAAAAATTAAACCCGTTTAATTAGCATATAATCTAACCTTCAAACTTGCATTAACCCATATCCGAAAGATGTTCGAACTACACCCGACAACTGCACGCGTTCTTTGTTTAATTAAAAAGACGCTGCACACCTCATTTGGTCGCGGCAAAGTATGGATTTAAACGGTGCAGTGAGCAGGCGGCACCAGAAAGCACCGCGCGCTAATCTATATTTTATAGATCCGTCAAGCGGCATGTCGCAGGACAATGGACACGGCATCCGTCAAATTGGACACTCACCCCTCAAGTCAGCAGTCAGTCAAGCGTGTCCACAACAATGGCCGCTCAGGGACGGGGGGGGGGGGGGACGGGGGGGGGAGAACCCAGTGTTTTAAGCCGACATTTTTTTTTTACCGGCAGCTGAGCCGGTGTGAAGGCCTCACGGTCGGGCTCTTGATTGCACGGCACGTGAGGCGTACTCACCCTGTACTCACCCCGTACTCACCCTTCAAGCAAACGTGTTTTAAAATAACTCCTTTGTTAAAGTTTTAAAAAATACAGAATAAAAAAAAATTCTCGCTAACTTGTCATTAAAATTAAGACAAGGAAATGAAGATTACGTGAGCTAATTAATGTGCTATTTATAGACGGCGTGTGACCCGGTATTTTCTTTGATGTCGATTAGCGGGTAGGCCGGTCAAGTAATACGAGCTAGATAAACATTTATCCCACTTCACACGTCGCTAATATTTACATCAGAGCATGGCGGTCAAGGACGTTTTTTTAGCTACCCCACGTGACACTTGGCGTGACAGTAAGGAAAAGCTGGCCAATTCGCCGTGAATAAGTGGATCATACTGAAGGTATAGGCAAATAGCTATCGATCATCTGATTGGTCGTGATTCGTCACGTGACATCCTAAGATGGCAGCTGTATTGGTATAGTCACATCTGACGTTTGTGACACATTGTGGAGTGTGTGACACTCTGTGGAGTGTGTGACACTCCTTGGAGTGTGTGACACTCTGTGGCGTGTTTGCATAATGTTTTGTTTGCAGATTACTCTATTTAAATCTGGCTTTATTTAAATAATCTATCGACAAACTCGATGTTGTAGCAGATTTGCTTGTCATTTGCTGAAGTGGTGTGAGGGGCTACAATACATTTCTAGAAGGTTCGGCAGATGGTTGCTTATACAGGAGAACTTAAGAGACTGCAGAAGTCAAGAGTGGAGGCAGGAGGGGTATACACGGGGTAGGGTCAGAAGGCAAGCGGCATACGACACAAAATAGACAAGGGGTGGGGGGGGGGGGGGGGGGGGGCAAGGTGTGGGATGTCTCCAGTATAGTCTCCTATGTAAGGTCTCCCATGTAAGGTCTCCTCTATTAGGTCTCCCATGTAAGGTCTTCCATCTCAGGTCTCCTATGTAAGGTCTCCCATGTAAGGTCTCCTCTATTAGGTCTCCCATGTAAGGTCTTCCATCTCAGGTCTCCTATGTAAGGTCTCCCATGTAAGGTCTCCTCTATTAGGTCTCCCATGTAAGGTCTTCCATCTCAGGTCTCCTATGTAAGGTCTCCCATGTAAGGTCTCCTCTATTAGGTCTCCCATGTAAAGTCTCCCATGTAAGGCCTCCCATGTAAAATCTCCCGTATTAGGTCTACTATGTAAGGTTTTTCATCTAAGGTCTCCTGTATTAGGTCTCCCATGTAAGGTCGCCCATGTAAGGTCTCCCATGTAAGGTCTCCTGTATTAGGTCTCCCATCTAAGGTCTCCTGTATTAGGTCTCCCACGTTGTATATCTCGGCACTTCCAATATTTCAGCAAATAAAAACTGTAGACATTCGCACCTATCCCCAACATACACCGCCATCTCGCGAAAAAATCAAAATATACCTGGTACCCCTAACGGAAAAGGACAATTTTCTTTAAACAGTTGACAACATGTCCAGTATGAAGGCACCTCGCTACATGCATTGCGCGTGCGATCACTGGGCGCTCACACCCCCCACCCCGTGGAATATAGTTTGCACAATGGAGTAATTATAGCCTGCGGGACTCCCCGAACTGGCTCCATTGGGAAGGAGAAAGAACAAATGAAAGGAGAGAAAATCTCGTTCTGATGTCCAGGGGGAAAAAAAATTGCTTTAACAGCTAGCTTACAGCCATACTCCAAGCCATACTTCAGCCATACTCAGAACTGAGATAGAAATTATCGTTAATACTCTAATTTACAAAACAAAACAAAGGATTTTCGCAACCGTGTCTATTCGTTATGATTTTTTTTTTTAAATCTGAAAAGCTTTGTTCTCTGGCCTATTTGCTAATCGATGATAGAAAAGAGCATCTTTTTATAGATGGTATCACATTCCTTCTGTTGGTTTTTTTGTCTTGTTTTTTTTTGTGCGTGGATATTTATGAAAGAAATAATTTTATTTAAGATAAGCTTCCTCTAGCGGGGGATAAATGATTCATCACCACGCGCTAGGAAACATACTATAAATATGAAACTTGATCCGGCATTAGTGAGGAGAAAAAAATGATGTAACAAACTTTATGAGCCGTGGCTAACACAACAGAAATGCCGAATCTTGGTACAAACAGACTTCAGCGTCGAAAGGGGAGGGCACAGCGACGCAGCGCTGCTATCCGAGCGGCCGACTCAGCCAGGGAAACGCAACTCCCGTTTCTTCCCCAACTCGGACGAGTGTGGTGTATCGGGGCAGGAGGTTGCGGGCCCTGTGTGTTGCTGGGCCTAGCTATGATGCGTGGAGTTCTGTTCGTGCCACCTCCAGTTCGCTACTCGCTACCTGAACTGTAGCCCAGCGCTACTGGATTCTCAAGCCCATTTCTTTCTTTGGATTTTCATGGATTATTTACTATTTCGTTTTCCTTTTTAACGGATTTATACTTTTCGTCAGCGGAAGTCGCCAGTGTTGTGTTTTTCTTGTATGGTGTTTATGTATGGGTATCACGTGACCAGTGAGTTAAATTAATATTAGTTACCAGAATCTAGATCTAGAATCTAGATCTAGATTTCTAGTTAGGGTAAAAATCGAATGTTAATAATTTAAAAAGTAAAATCCAATGATGTACATGATAATAAGCTGCGAGTTAATACCATCATTTAACAGTTAAACGTGTGTATAGCGCGTGTTAACTACGGCAATAGGACAAACATTCCGTTAACCCCCCCCCCCAATCTAACCAGTACTGACACTGTCCACACGACTCACCCCTATTGCCACCGTTATAGATCTAGCCACCAAACTTGCTATAGGGGCCAAGTTATCAGACCTGAATTATAGTCGCGAACTATCGCATTAGGGACCCTACTGTCGCGTTGGAACCCTACTCTCGCTTTAGGGACCCCACTATCTCATATAGGGACCCTACCATCTAGTTAGGGACACTACTATCGCATTAGGGACCCTACCATCTAGTTAGGGACACTACTATCGCATTAGGGACCCTACCATCTAGTTAGGGACACTACTATCGCATTAGGGACCCTACCATCTAGTTAGGGACACTACTATCGCATTAGGGACCCTACCATCTAGTTAGGGACACTACTATCGCATTAGGGACCCTACCATCTAGTTAGGGACACTACTATCGCATTAGGGACCCTACCATCTCGTTAGGGACCCTACTATCGCATTAGGGACCCTACCATCTAGTTAGGGACCCTACTATCGCATTAGGGACCCTACCATCTCGTTAGGGACCCTACCATCTCGTTAGGGACCCTACTATCTCATATAGGGACCCTACCATCTAGTTAGGGACGCTACTATCGCATTAGGGACACTACTATCTCTTAGGGCCCTAAAGCGTTAGGGTCCCACTTAAGGCCCTCGATCGTACTGAAGTGCCGGTTTAAAAAAACTTGAACAACACATTGAGATAAAGACCCCCCCCCCCCCACCCCTAAGTACCCACCTCCTCCCTTATCTTTGTTTATGTCGAGAGTCGCTGTCAGATCTTAAGTTTATTTTAGGTCTACAAGAAATGTTTCAATTTGTTAAGTTTCACGAGTTCTAGGTTTATTTTAGGTCTACAAGAAATGTTTCAATTTGTTAAGTTTCACGAGTTTTAGGTTTATTTTAGGTCTACAAGAAATGTTTCAATTTGTTAAGTTTCACGAGTTCTAGGTTTATTTTAGGTCTACACGAAATGTTTCAATTTGTTAAGTTTCACGAGTTGTAGGTTTATTTTAGTTTTAGACGGAATGTTTCAATTTGTGAAGTTTCACGAGTTCTAGGTTTATTTTAGGTCTACAAAAAATGTTTCAATTTGTTAAGTTTCACGAGTTCTAGGTTTATTTTAGTTTTAGACGGAATGTTTCTATTTGTTAAGTTTCACGAGTTCTAGGTTTATTTTAGTTTTAGAGGGAATGTTTCAATTTGTTAAGTTTCACGAGTTCTAGGTTTATTTTAGGTCTACAAAAAATGTTTCAATTTGTTAAATTCCAGGACGCCCGTTTTCACAAGAAGATAAAAGACATTTTGAGCCGGTAAGACACAAACCATTCAGCGTGGTAACAAAGTGCAATAAAAAAATTGAGTCAAACAAAGCCTTGGAGTATAAACTTATAGCTGCGTCTTTTCCCGTACCACGTCTACCATCTACCCTCCCCACCTCCACCATCTACCCTCCCCACCTCCACCATCTACCCTCCCCACCTCCACCACCTCCACCATCTACCATCTACCATCCCCCCTCCACCATCTACCATCTACCCTCCCCACCTCCACCATCTACCCTCCCCACCTCCACCACCTCCACCATCTACCCTCCCCACCTCCACCACCTCCACCATCTACCCTCCCCACCTCCACCATCTACCCTCCCCACCTCCACCATCTACCCTCCCCATCCACCGTAGGTGACCTGCGGGATGACTGGGTACAAGGGGGGGGGGGGCTGGGCTTTTAGTGGCTTAAGTCAACACACCAATGAACTAGATGACTTACCCGGATGACTTCACGTATTTACCTCTCCATCGAACTTGAACCAAGTCACTCAGTCAACTAGAGGGCGAGTTTAAAGAAGCCGCTAGGTCCCAACAAACGGGGTCAGACAGCCACCGAGGTCAGCCTAAGGTCCCATCAAAAGGTGGGGGGGGGGGGGGGGGGGCAGCTAGTCACTGAAGTCAGCCTGTCTCCAAGACCGATAAAACTTTCTGGACACTATGAATCGCTTACACTTTATTTTCCAACACCACTTACATATTTCTAAAATATCAGCTTTAATGGTACCTTTATTAACGCGGGACAAACAAACGAACAGCGCAAGTTGATGACCTATGACCCTAGTGACACCGAGACTGGACCAGTTGACCTCTATGACCCTAGTCATACCGAGACTGGACAAGTTGACCTCTATGACCCTAGTGATACCGAGACTGGACAAGTTGACCTCTATGACCCTCGTGATACCGAGACTGGACCAACGCTGATTGCCGTACGTACTCATTAAACTGACCTAATGAATGCAGCGTGTTATTGTCTTTGTTTTACGGCTAGCTTGTAGGTTAGGGTTAGGGTTAGGGTTAGGGTTAGGGTTAGGGTTAGGGTATGGGTTAGGGTTAGGGTTAGAGTTCTTTAAAAAAATCGAATCGAAGCTGTTTCGCCGTTTAACAGCAAAGTACCCGGATGTTGTAAGGCCCCTCATTAAACCCCAATCTTACCTTCGATTGGGTGGATTTTTTCTCCGTAATTTGTGGATAATTGGATTACGGCTTGGATGTAACGAGATTATACGAGAGACGGAATGAGACTTCACGAGATCTTAGAGCGCTGAGTTTTTGATCCGCGGTTCGCCTTTATCAAGTCTTATATATCCGACCCTAGCTCGCTGTATCAAGTCTTATATATCCGATCCCTAGCTCGCCTGTATCAAGTCTTATATATCCCATGATCCCTGTTAGCCTATAACATCGTGTCCTGATCCTTAGTTCTCCTCTATCAAATCTTCTAGTTGTATGCTGTCGACATGTAAGCACAGGTAAGATGAAGCAGTGGACCGGACACACAGTGCAATTAACACCGCTAGTGAGCCCCAATTATTAATGACCCAGTGATAATTTAATTCATTAGTTTTATTTTCCTGTACAAATTGTGTTCGGGAGTAATTTGTGTTTGAAATTTTGGTTTTTGTTGTCAAGTATTCGTTCTCTATCTCTGGATGACTGGATTACCATCGATCGTGGATTCTAGTGGATTGTATGGACGCGGATACATGGACTTGTGGCTTAACTTCCTGCTCATAAACTGATGACAGGTAATTAGTTTTATTTCACTAATTGGTAGTTTTAATTTCACTAATTGTTGCATCATCCTCGGGGCTCAAATAGAAAAATTATTAAAATCAACATTACGAGATATAGGCCTACATATAATTTATATACATCTATGCACACTTAAATAGTAATATAGTTCTATCTATACTAACTATACTTAAATACACCCATGATAAATACTAAAATACGTGCTTGTGTACTGTATGTCTGTATGTGCGGGTGTTATGTCGGTATGTGCGTGTGTACTGTATGTCTGTATGTGCGTATGTACTTTCTGTCTGTATGTGCTTTTGTACTGTATGTCTGTATGTGCGTGTGATATGTCTGTATGTGCTTGTGTACTGTATGTGCTTGTGTACTGTATGTCTGTATGTGCGTATGTACTTTCTGTCTGTATGTGCTTTTGTACTGTATGTCTGTATGTGCGTGTGATATGTCTGTGTGTGCTTGTGTACTGTATGTCTGTATGTGCGTGTGTACTGTATGTCTAAATGTGCTTTTGTACTGTATGTCTGTATGTGCGTGTGTTATGTCTGTATGTGCTTGTGTTATGTTTGTATGTGCTTTTGTACTGTATGTCTGTATGTGCGTGTGTTATGTCTGTATGTGCGTGTGTTCTGTATGTCTGTATGTGCTTTTGTACTGTATGTCTGTATGTGCGTGTGTTATGTCTGTATGTGCTTGTGTTATGTTTGTATGTGCTTTTGTACTTTATGTCTGTATGTGCTTGTGTTATGTCTGTATGTGCGTGTTATGTCTCTATGTGCGTGTGTACTTGATGCTTGTATGTGCTTGTGTATGTCTGTATGTGCTTTTGTACTGTATGTGTGTATGTGCTTGTGTTATGTCTGTATGTGCGTGTTATGTCTCTATGTGCGTGTGTACTGTATGTCTGTATGTGTAGTATGTGCATGTCGTGGAATGTTGTGTGAGGTTATGGTTGAACTGGAGTGCAGACCAGATAAGTTTGAAACAAGTCGCGGGGTAATGTCCTACACACTACAGCAGTAATGTCCTACACACTACAGCAGTAATGTCCTACACACTACAGCAGTAATGTCCAACACACTACAGCAGTAATGTCCTACACACTACAGCAGTAATGTCCAACACAGTAAAGTCCTATAAGTCCCCACCACCCCACCACCACCAACCCCACCAACCTCACTACGCCACCACCGCCAACCCAACCACGCCACCATCACCACCACCAACTCCACCACGCCACCACCACCAACTCCACCACGCCACCACCACCACCACCAACTCCACCACGCCACCACCACCACCACCAACTCCACCACGCCACCACCACCACCACCAACTCCACCACGCCACCACCACCAACTCCACCACGCCACCACCACCACCACCAACTCCACCACGCCACCACCACCAACTCCACCACGCCACCACCACCAACTCCACCACGCCACCACCACCACCACCAACTCCACCACGCCACCACCACCACCACCAACTCCACCACGCCACCACCACCACCACCAACTCCACCACGCCACCACCACCACCACCAACTCCACCACGCCACCACCACCACCACCAACTCCACCACGCCACCATCACCAACTCCACCACGCCACCACCACCAACTCCACCACGCCACCACCACCACCACCAACTCCACCACGCCACCACCACCACCACCAACTCCACCACGCCACCACCACCACCACCAACTCCACCACGCCACCACCACCAACTCCACCACGCCACCATCACCACCACCAACTCCACCACGCCACCACCACCACCACCAACTCCACCACGCCACCATCACCACCACCAACTCCACCACGCCACCACCACCACCACCAACTCCACCACGCCACCATCACCACCACCAACTCCACCACGCCACCATCACCACCACCAACTCCACCACGCCACCACCACCACCACCAACTCCACCACGCCACCACCACCACCACCAACTCCACCACGCCACCACCACCACCACCAACTCCACCACGCCACCACCACCAACTCCACCACGCCACCACCACCACCACCAACTCCACCACGCCACCACCACCACCACCAACTCCACCACGCCACCACCACCAACTCCACCACGCCACCACCACCACCACCAACTCCACCACGCCACCACCACCACCACCAACTCCACCACGCCACCACCACCACCACCAACTCCACCACGCCACCACCACCACCACCAACTCCACCACGCCACCACCACCACCACCAACTCCACCACGCCACCACCACCACCACCAACTCCACCACGCCACCACCACCACCACCAACTCCACCACGCCACCACCACCAACTCCACCACGCCACCACCACCAACTCCACCACGCCACCACCACCACCACCAACTCCACCACGCCACCACCACCACCACCAACTCCACCACGCCACCACCACCACCCCACCACCCCACCACACCTATCCGTCTTCAGACAAGCGTGTCAAATAAACATTGTTAATTAACAACATAAAAATGATAACATTTCATAAAAACGATAACATTTTTAATCAACATGTCATTCAACAAATCTCAAATCGCCTGGGATCATCTTTCTTTTGTATGTCTATGTAAGCATATTGTTTTCTTTTGTAAGTCTATGTAAGCATGTTTGCTTTTGTATTTCTATGTAAGCATATTGTTTGCTTTTGTATTTCTATGTAAGCATATTGTTTCGTTGTGGTTATGTATGTGTTTATGTCCGTGTGTGCCCGACTATGTGAAACACGTCTTTGTGTGTATGTATTCTCGTTTGGATGCTTGCCTGTATGTTAACGTGTGTTTGTAAACATGAATGTGTGTATGTATGTTAGCGTGTGTTTGTAAACATTTATGTGTGTCTCCGTCTGAGACTGCTTGCGTCTATGTATGTTTGTATGTATGTATGTCTGTATGTATGTCTGTATGCATGCCTGTATTCATGTCTGTATGTATGTCTGTATGCATGTCTATATGCATGTCTGTATGTATGTATGTTTGTATGTCTATATGTATGTTTGTATGTATGTCTGTATGACAACCTACGAGCCATTGCGTTACAAAATAAGTCAACATATACTATCTCACTCAGTACCATATGAAGACATACCATATGAAGACATAGGCCCCTTACCTTCTGACAACGAACTGCAAGTTTCTAATGTTACAGGAAAAGTCACGTGATACCCGTCTACCTATAGATGTAAAGATCCATTAGGTGAGAATTCTAGTTGAGAATATCGATCTTGGGTCCCGATCGGCTGGGCTGGGGCGGGTGAGGAGGGTTGGTGGGGGGGGGGGGGGGGAGGGAGGGAGATAGAGAATAGGGTGAGCATGACGTAGAGGGGAGGGTGGGGTATAGGAAGAGGTGAGCTAATACCGCTGTACCGACACATCTATTATTGCTGTACATACACAATCTCAATACCGACACGTCTATTATTGCTGTACCGACACAATTGCTGTACCGACACATCTATTATTGCTGTACCGACACAATTGCTGTACCGACACATCTATTATTGCTGTACCGACACAATTGCTGTACCGACACATCTATTATTGATGTACCGTCACAATTGCCGTACCGACACGTCTATTATTGCTGAACCGACACATCTATTATTGATGCACCGACACAATTGCTGTACCGACACAATTCCCGTACCGACACGTCTATTATTGCTGCACCGACACATCTATTATTGATATACCGACACATCTATTATTGCTGTACCGACACAATTGCTGTACCGACACATCTGTTATTCCTGTACCGACACATCTGTTATTGCTGTACCGACACATCTATTATTACTGTACCGACACATCTGTTATTGCTGTACCGACACGTCTATTACTGCTGTACCGACACAATTGCTGTACCGACACATCTATTATTACTGTACCGACACATCTATTATTACTGTACCGACACATCTGTTATTCCTGTACCGACACATCTGTTATTCCTATACCGACACATCTGTTATTCCTGTACCGACACATCTATTATTGCTGTACCGACACATCTATTATTGCTGTACCGACACATTTATTACCGTGCCGGCTAGTTAACGACATCCCCTCCCCCTCCCCCCAATATCCTACACACACAGAGCTTTATTGCTCTACCGCCACATTGTATCGATGAAGAATCGGCTTCGATACATTGTATCGATGAAGAATTGGCTTCGATTAGCGATTTCGCCCGATCTATGCACCGATGGCTTTCTTTTTGTTGTGTGTGAAATCACACAGTTCGATCAGAGATTAAACACGGGGCACTTCCCTGCCCGGCACTGCCCACTTTCCTGCCCGGCAATGCCCACTTCCCTGCCCGGCACTGCCCACTTTCCTGCCCAGCACTGCCCACTTCCCTGCCCAGCACTGCCCACTTCCCTGCCCTCACTGCTCACTTTCCTGCCCGGCACTGCCCACTTTCCTGCCCGGCAATGCCCACTATAAGCCAGGTGCTTCTGCACCAAAGGAATATTCACATGGACAAATATAGAGCTCAAGACGACGGCTGCACATCTATGGCTCCCCCCCCCCCCTCCCCGCTACGTCTGTCTACTCACGCCGTGTTAGCCAGAAGACGAGGCAGTGCTCACCCAGTAGCCCCAGGTCTAATTGACGAGACATTTAGCGAGGGTCAAGACGAGACATTTAGCGAGGGTCAAGCTGACCCGAGCTGTGACAAAATGTTGGGTTAAAAAAACAACAAAAACTTGGCACGGTAATGGACAGCGTGTACTCACGGCTAGGTCAGTACTCACAGCGGTGGACTGTCAAGTTTAGGGCAGCTCACGTGTAAAAGTTTTGGGCATTTCATGTGTGCTCAACGTCTGAACGTGTTGTTGTGCTCGTGTCAACTCCCACCAAGGTCACACCGTGTACTCACCGTGATGGTGGCGGAGCAAATGAGTGAGCAAACGACACTTTCAATGCCAGACAGACGACAAGTTGTGTGCGTGGTCACCATTTTAGATGAACTCACACTTTTCTATTGGCTACACGCAATAGAAAACATTTTAGATGAACTCACACTTTTCTATTGGCTACACGCAATAGAAAACATTTTAGATGAACTCACACAATTTTATTGGCTACACGCAATAGAAAACATTTTAGATGAACTCACACTTTTCTATTGGCTACACACAATAGAAAACATTTTAGATGAACTCACACTTTTCTATTGGCTACACACAATAGAAAACATTTTAGATGAACTCACACTTTTCTATTGGCTACACGCAATAGAAAACATTTTAGATGAACTCACACAATTTTATTGGCTACACGCAATAGAAAACATTTTAGATGAACTCACACTTTTCTATTGGCTACACGCAATAGAAAACATTTTAGATGAACTCACACTTTTCTATTGGCTATATGAAGATAAAAGTTTTATTTGTTAAGGTTGCTTGAAAGAAAGTTTTGCTATTAAATCATAAGCATTCATACTTGTACAGCAGATACCGTCTGTAATAGTATGTATCACATTATGCTGGGAGGCTGATCTCATTCTAGTGGTGCGTTCGGGGGATGTTTAAACCAGATGCAACCAGAGCCTCTAACATCAGACAGATGACTTAATACAACTCAAGTCAGATCACCTAGCTGATGACTTAATAAAACTCCACAAGTTAAGGCATATTACGACTGAAAGCTTGTGTCTAAAAAAGAAAACAATTAAATCCCGAAATCCAAAGTCATTTGGCTATATCAACAACAATTTGGTCCAATAAAATTTGGTCCAATAAAATTTGGTCCAATGAAATTTGGTCCAATAAAATTTGGTCCACCAACATCTCCTGATCCTATTGACCCGCGGATCACTGTGACGTGTTGGTCACGTGATGCGTCACGTGGTCTGTTGTCAACACACAACTGTGACCATTGGCCTGGACTACACGATTGGCTGAACGTTTAATCTCGAGCTTTCTCGCGCAGTCACGTGTCAGTTCTACGGATCCATTAATCCACGCTCCATTTAAAGTGCGTCTTAGCTCGCGGAGCTAATACCCGAGACAAAAGTACCCGGCCAGAACAAATATTTGGGACAAAAGTACCCGGATCAATGAGCGCAACATGTTCCAAGTTTTAAGCTTCCATCGCTGCATTCAGCAATAGCTCACGGTGTGGAGAGAGAAATGTTACCAAGGTTAGCGATTGGCTGGGTGAATGTAGTTGTGGCTGGTTTATGGCTGGTTTATGTGGTTATGGCTAGTTTATGGCTGATTTATGTGGTTATGGCTGGTTTATGGCTGGTGTATGTGGTTATGGCTGGTTTATGTGGTTATGGCTGGTTTATGGCTGGTTTATGGCTGGTTTATGGCTGGTTTATGTGGTAATGGCTGGTTTATGGCTGGTGTATGTGGTTATGGCTGGTGTATGTGGTTATGGCTGGTGTATGTGGTTATGGCTGACGTTGATCTGAGTATCGTCACAATCAGCAAACTCGTGACAGAAAGATCGATATTCATTTAGCGCTTAATCTTTGATCTGCGAACATCGCCATTGTACCACTGACATATCACCATCCATAGCACTGGTCTCATCACCATCATATAATATCACCATCATATCACTGACATCTCACCATCATATAACTGACATCTGCACTAACAACTAGATCTAGATCTGCTCCCATAACTTCCTGCTGTAAAAAAATCTCCGCCATATTGCGCTCACGTTGGGCAATTTTAAAAATCTCAACAATCCGCCAGCGGCCTAGGATTCTGTCTTTTATTGAGCGCAGGTAATTGAAAATTTCTTCCGTAAAAACCCTCCATGTTTTAAAATCTATTTATAGACGGTCGCGTGTAGCAACTACTGCCGCACTATTTCAAGACAAACTTTGCACACCAACGAAACCCGACACCTTTGCTGCCCTTTCGATGTTTAAAATCTTTGCCTTCCTCAACCCAACCTCTCATCTCCCCAACCCAAACCCTCATCAGCCCAGCCCAACCCAACCCTCATCACCCCAACCCAATCCCTCATCACCCCAACCCCTCATCGCCCCAAACCAACCCCTTATCAACCCAACCCAACCCCTCATCACCCCAACCCCTCATCGCCCCAAACCAACCCCTTATCAACCCAACCCAACCACTTATCACCCCAACCCATCATCAGCCAACCCCTCATCACCTCAACCCAACCCCTCATCTCCCCCCCCCCCCCACCCTGCCTGTCTACTGAAGCAGTTTCTATACACTCCAAATATTTTCCAAGTCTTAAGTTTATTTTAAAAGGCGAACCTCTGGTTGCACGTCGTTGCTAATTTTATTTTCCCAGTCTCGTCTACTTCCGACGTCAGCCGTTTGTTTAGCAGTTGTCTTTCCTTGTCGGACTTTTTTTCTCTCGCGGTAATGGATGTTTAGTAAAACATCACCATTGGTAAAGTGAGAGTATTAATACCCAGTGTGACAAATAGTTCCGGCTCATTATCAACAGCAGGCGGTACACTGGGGTTTATACTTTGCAGTCTTGTGTTTCGTTAACTAGCGATTTGTTGTTAGTCTTTTCAAACGTGAGGCAGGGGCGACAATTAAAGGGGAGAAAAGAAATGGGTCACAATAACACGGTGCATATGGGGGTCTGTCCACCTGTCTAAAACATCACGTGGTCTGGTTGTTGGGCACGGTGGAGTAGGTTGTGGATTCAGGTGGTGTAGGTTTAGATGGTGTGTAGGTTGTTGGTTTAGTTGATGTAGGTTTAGATTGTGTTTATGTTGTTGGTTTAGTTGATGTAGGTTTAGTCGTTTGGGTTGTAATTTACAGCTGTGGGTTTAAGGTTTTGTCGGTGAAGGTTGTAGGTTTTGGTGTTTGATACTGTAGTCTTAGTTACGGTAGGTTTGATCATTGTTTCAGGCACCTCTCCGGGAGGGGTGGGTGAAGCACGTCTAACGTCCCCCTCCATAACGAAATAGAAATACACTTTAATCAGTGTCGCCCCCCCCCCCCCCCCCCCCCAAAATTTCAAGCTCCCGCCCCCGCGGAGAAAAAAAGTCCGTAAGAAAAACACTGGGGATGATGGCGTGTGTTCCTATGCTCGTGTGTTGTATCAGTGTGTTGAAATACGTCTATCGTGTGTAACACATGTGTAGCACAGTCAACCATTGAACACACGGAAGATTTCCTCTCTGAAGTTACCCTCTAGTTGAACACTTTGAAAAACTTTTTCCCGTGTGAGTCACCCCATCAGAGTGCGGGCGGGACGACACTCCAGGCTAACAATACATGTCAGTATTTGCCCAGCGTGCCATCCAGTCAGTGGCTTGTGTGGCTCGCTCAACTCTAGCCCAGTCCACAATAGACCCAACTGAGTACAGTTTCAATCCTCGCTCAACTCTCGCCCAGTGCACAATAGACCCAACTGAGTACAGTTTCAATCCTCGCTCATCTCTAGCCCAGTCCACAATAGACCCAACTGAGTACAGTTTCAATCCTCGCTCAACTCTAGCCCAGTCGACAATAGACCCAACTGAGTACAGTTTCAATCCTCGCTCAACTCTCGCCCAGTGCACAATAGACCCAACTGAGTACAGTTTCAATCCTCGCTCATCTCTAGCCCAGTCCACAATATACCCAACTGAGTACAGTTTCAATCCTCGCTCAACTCTAGCCCAGTCGACAATAGACCCAACTGAGTACAGTTTCAATCCTCGCTCAACTCTAGCCCAGTCCACAATAGACCCAACTGAGTACAGTTTCAATCCTCGCTCAACTCTCGCCCAGTGCACAATAAGCCCAACTGAGTACAGTTTCAATCCTCGCTCATCTCTAGCCCAGTCCACAATAGACCCAACTGAGTACAGTTTCAATCCTCGCTCAACTCTAGCCCAGTCCACAATAGACCCAACTGAGTACAGTTTCAATCCTCGCTCAACTCTAGCCCAGTCCACAATAGACCCAACTGAGTACAGTTTCAATCCTCGCTCAACTCTCGCCCAGTGCACAATAGACCCAACTGAGTACAGTTTCAATCCTCGCTCAACTCTCGCCCAGTGCACAATAGACCCAACTGAGTACAGTTTCAATCCTTGCTCAACTCTAGCCCAGTCGACAATAGACCCAACTGAGTACAGTTTCAATCCTTGCTCAACTCTCGCCCAGTGCACAATAGACCCAACTGAGTACAGTTTCAATCCTCGCTCATCTCTAGCCCAGTGCACAATAGACCCAACTGAGTACAGTTTCAATCCTCGCTCAACTCTAGCCCAGTCGACAATAGACCCAACTGAGTACAGTTTCAATCCTCGCTCAACTCTCGCCCAGTGCACAATAGACCCAACTGAGTACAGTTTCAATCCTCGCTCATCTCTAGCCCAGTGCACAATAGACCCAACTGAGTACAGTTTCAATCTAGCCACGCGAGATCTCGTATGCTCTCGAGCCGGCACGGACGCTGCGCATGTCAGAACGAGAACCGCCTGTCTGGTGGACACTTGTCAGTGGACCGTGAGGTGAGCGCTCACAGGTGTGAGCCAGCCCTATCACGTGATCCCATGCTACTGGAGCTCTTCATGTCAGGGCGGCAAACACACGCCAGGTTTTGACGTGTCGATACATCTTGTGGCAGGTCTTGTGTTACCTGAAGGTCTTTGTGTTAGGTCTTGGTGCAAGGTCTGTGTTGGTGTGTGGGTTGGTAAAGTGTTGTCAAACGGTATGAAGGGATTGTGTGGTGTGGTCAGAAATAAATCCAGTCGCTTTATCTTTCCTCTCTCTGTGTAAGGTGAAATGTTCATTTAGTCAGTGAAGCAGGAGCAGCCGGAATGTCGTGGACCGAACTTGGGGGAATCCCCCAAAACCGAGCCCAATGGATGTGGTTGGTTGCGTGACTTTGCTCCACAAGGGCTCCACTAGACGATGATGTTGTTGATTTAGAGCCAGGTGCAGTCATTGACGTTTAACTGTCGTGAGTAGGGGACCCGAATTGAGACTTTCGTGAAACCAGTCCTACGCTCTAACAATCAACCACGTCATCCAATAAAGGTGATGTAACATTTAAATTTACGGCTAAAACTACTGAAAAATGCCGGAAAACTGCTGGAAAAGCCGGTAAACTGATGTAAAAATGACGGTAAACTGATAGCAATATGATGGGTGAAGCTAGATAAACACTGTAATTATAATATCGATTGGATGCATGGTTTACCTGCACACGTTACCTGGAGATGTGGTCTGCAGGTTACCTATAGATAGAGTCAGGTAACCGCTTATAGCCAGGTAACCGCTTATAGCCAGGTAATCGCTTATAGCCAGGTAACCGCTTATAGCCCGGCTGTGTGCACAGGCCGGGTCCGTGTGCCGGTGGATAAATAGCCGGCAGGGTCTTGTTGACCCAGTGATTAGCACGCGCCACAGTAACGGTCTAGACAAACAGAGCTGGGGTACAGCGTCCAGGTTCGGGGTCATCCAGATACACCTTCATTAAGTCAGATACACCGTCATTACCTAAGTCAGATACACCTTCATTACCTAAGTCAGATACACCGTCATTACCTAAGTCAGATACACCGTCATTAAGTCAGATACACCATCATTACCTAAGTCAGCTACACCGTCATTAAGTCAGATACACCGTCATTACCTAAGTCAGCTACACCGTTATTAAGTCAGATACACCGTCATTACCTAAGTCAAATACACCGTCATTAAGTCAGCTACACCGTCATTACCTAAGTCAGCTACACCGTCATTACCTAAGTCAGATACACCATCATTACCTAAGTCAGATACACCATCATTACCTAAGTCAGCTACACCGTCATTACCTAAGTCAGCTACACCGTCATTACCTAAGTCAGATACACCATCATTACCTAAGTCAGATACACCATCATTACCTAAGTCAGATACACCGTCATTACCTAAGTCAGATACACCGTCATTAAGTCAGATACACCATCATTACCTAAGTCAGCTACACCGTCATTAAGTCAGATACACCGTCATTACCTAAGTCAGCTACACCGTCATTACCTAAGTCAGATACACCATCATTACCTAAGTCAGATACACCATCATTACCTAAGTCAGATACACCGTCATTACCTAAGTCAGATACACCGTCATTACCTAAGTCAGATACACCGTCATTACCTAAGTCAGATACACCGTCATTAAGTCAGATACACCATCATTACCTAAGTCAGCTACACCGTCATTAAGTCAGATACACCATCATTACCTAAGTCAGATACACCGTCATTACCTAAGTCAGATACACCATCATTACCTAAGTCAGCTACACCGTCATTACCTAAGTCAGCTACACCGTCATTAAGTCAGCTACACCGTCATTACCTAAGTCAGATACACCATCATTACCTAAGTCAGATACACCGTCATTAAGTCAGATACACCGTCATTACCTAAGTCAGATACACCGTCATTACCTAAGTCAGATACACCATCATTACCTAAGTCAGCTACACCGTCATTAAGTCAGCTACACCGTCATTACCTAAGTCAGATACACCGTCATTAAGTCAGATACACCATCATTACCTAAGTCAGATACACCGTCATTACCTAAGTCAGATACACCATCATTACCTAAGTCAGCTACACCGTCATTACCTAAGTCAGCTACACCGTCATTAAGTCAGCTACACCGTCATTACCTAAGTCAGATACACCATCATTACCTAAGTCAGATACACCGTCATTAAGTCAGATACACCGTCATTACCTAAGTCAGATACACCGTCATTACCTAAGTCAGATACACCATCATTACCTAAGTCAGCTACACCGTCATTAAGTCAGCTACACCGTCATTACCTAAGTCAGATACACCGTCATTAAGTCAGATACACCATCATTACCTAAGTCAGATACACCGTCATTAAGTCAGATACACCATCATTACCTAAGTCAGATACACCTTCATTACCTAAGTCAGATACACTTTCACTAAGTCAGATACACCTTCATTACCTAAGTCAGATACACCTTCATTACCTAAGTCAGATACACTTTCACTAAGTCAGATACACTTTCATTACCTAAGTCAGATACACTTTCACTAAGTCAGATACACCTTCATTACCTAGGTCAGATACACCTCAATTACCTAAGTCAGATACACTTTCATTACCTAAGTCAGATACACCTTCATTACCTAAGTCAGATACACTTTCACTAAGTCAGATACACCTTCATTACCTAAGTCAGATACACCTCCATTAAGTCAGATACACCTTCATTAAGTCTAATACACCGTCATTACCTAAGTCAGATACACATTAAGTCAGATACACCTTCGTTACCTAAGTCAGATACACCTTCATTAAGTCAGATACACCTTCATTAAGTCAGATACACCATCATTACCTAAGTCAGATACACATTCGTTACCTAAGTCAAATACGCAGTCATTACCTAAGTCAGATACACCTTCATTAAGTCAGATACACCTCTTCATTAAGTCAGATACACCGTCATTACCTAAGTCAGATACGCCGTCATTACCTAAGTCAGATACACCTTCATTAAGTCAGATACACCTTCCTTACTTGACTTAAGTCAGCTGGACAACATACCAGTCCCAAATGTATTAAAGCCATTCTCGTATTTATATTTGTCACGGATGTTAGCGTGAAAATATTGTGGTGGTGTTTGTTATGTGATATAACTACGGTATTTATGGGGTGGTACAGAAGTAGTGAATATAAGTATATGTGAAGTTTTCAAGTGATCTAACAAGCATGTGTATGGCCCCATATTAGCGCTTATCTGTGGGGGTACATCACATTGCTGGCACCAAACATCGCTACATGCCACAACAAAGACAAACAATGACCATACACGTTATGGACCATAAAAGTTTGTACCGAATGCAGGACCATACATTTTATGGACCATAAAAGTTTGTACCGAATGCTAATAGCTGAAGTACACGCAGTCCCACGAAGGAATCCGGAAGTTGAAGCTAGTCGCGCCCACTGACGATACGTCATACATACACGTCAAGTGACCCACAGGGGCTATGACCTCATGGGTTTAGCATTTAATAAAATATTTTACTCACACAAACAAAACTCGGCCATGGCTGCAGTGCCAGTCTGATGTACCACGTGTGTACAGATTGTCATGATGTTGTCATGATGTTGTGAATACCTAATTATGCTATATACTAATTATGCAAACTAAACAAATAACTCCTTACTTATTAGATTCAAGCTAAAACCACTCCCCTGTAGAGGGCTAACATCACTCAAAGGCTAATACACCACTCCACTGTAGAGGGCTAAAACCACCCCAGAGGTTTATCGCGACATTATCACCTCCATTGTAAAGTGTTAACATCACACCAGAGGGCTAACACTCCCCCACTGTAAAGGGCTAACACTACAGTGTAGCCATCTCAATACAGGCTGAGCTTCTAGCCCTGTCTTACTGGGTTTTTTTTCCTGGTCTTCCAAACACGTGGTTAGGCTATTTTTAGAAAGATATTCCTGGCGCGTTGTTGTGATTGCTAATTAAAAAAAACCCGTTTAAACCCCCCCCCCCCAAAAAAAAAAATAAAACAAATCAGGATTATTTTTTTTTTTTGCTCGCATGAACTCTGACCTTTCTCCCTTCAATACAACGGATCTATATTTAGAACACTAGCCGTAAGCGCATTAGGCGGTTTATGTTTTGAAACGTGAACATAAAAGTGAAACCCCTTTCATATTCCGTTACCTTAACGACGCTGGAGTAACTTCCCTTAGCAGGAAGCTCCGCCCTAACGGTACCATCCGACTGCTGTATGCGTATGGTGCGGCTTTCAACACGTAGTTACATAACCTTGGGATATACCCGCACACACACATCTACAAACATAAAATAACACACAAATGTACATATACGCACATTAACACATACTTACACCCACACACACACACACACACACGAATCTACCTACACATACAGTACGTCCTTAAGATCAGTACTAGCCGTCCTGCCCACCTGACGTCCTTAAGATCAGTACTAGCAGTCCTGCCCACCTGAATACGAAGCATATGACGTCATGACAAGCTTATCTCCGACGTGCTACTCACGTGATTTGTGTGGAGGGAGTCACGTGACGATAAGTGTAGATCAATAGTTATGTCAACACTCGGCGGTGGAGGCTAGGTTTTAATTTGGTCAAATTTTCAACGGCAGAAGGTCAGACCTGGTGGGTTGGGGGGGGGGGGGTGGAGGGGAAGGTGGGTTCACATCGGTTGTGCTTCGTATGACTTTATGTTGGTATCTGCGATGTAACAAAGTGCTGGTGATGTGTGTGATGTAACAAAGTGCTGATGATGTATGTGATGTAACAAAGTGCTGATGATGATGTGTGTGATGTGAAAAAGTGCTGATGATGTTGTGACTGATGTAACAAAATGATGATGATGTGACTAATGAAACACGGTGCTGATGATGTGTGTGATGTAACACAGTGTTGATGATGTATGTGATGTAACAAAGTGCTG